TTTATTTTTGTTGTTCTTCTAAAAATTAAATTATTAATTTTTTTTTAAAGAAAAAAAACTTGGCAAAATCAACCAAAAATGGAAAACAATGGTTGCAAGCTGCTGCCTTTCATCAACTGTTCTCCAATAAACCTTTCTTCTTTAATTACTCTTTCAAATAACGTATTGTTTTCGCCATTTTCATTTCCACTTCTTCTCCCCCTCCTCCATTCCATTTATACTTCGTCAACTCTAGGGTTTTATCCCAGAATATCCCAAACCCACCCCCGTACACCTCAATTCCCTTCAATCCCACACCCCCCTCATCTCCCTCCAATGCATCGCTGAACCATTTCATTCATTTTTCTTACACTGCTTCCTACAATCTAGGATATCTAGCTGCTGCAGCTTCTCTTCTCCAATCTCTTTTTGCAATGGCTGCGCCCAGGAATGTGTTGAGGGACGAAGAGAACGCCGCCGAGGCTAACGGCACCCGGGAGGACCATGACTCCCCCGCAGGGAAGCGGTTCAAATCCGATAGGTTTCCGCTCAGCAGATGGGAATTCGCTGCGTTTTTTGGGGTTTTCTTGATCTTCTCTACCGGGTTGTTCTGTATCTACCTCACCATGCCTGCTGCAGAGTACGGGAAGCTCAAATTGCCCCGCACCATATCCGATCTCCGCTTGCTTAGGTAAAGTCTTCCTTTTTTGGTCTCGGTTTTGTACACAGCTTCGTCTTTTCTTGGTTTTGAAGTTTCTTCTCGTTATTGGGTCCTGCCTTGTATGAGTACTTCGTGCTGAAGTATTATTATTATGTTTAATGTCATATTGAATTGTATAACTTAGATGCATATTTCTGTGAATTTTTTGAATAGTACCTAAGGAGTTTGGTGAGAGATTTTATGGAAAGTTGTCTTTTTGTCGTGGCTTTTCAGTAGTTAGCATCAAAACTCAAAATGGGTACTCATTTTATGCATAAACGTTTTTGTCTATGGGAAGGTTCCCTAAATTTTTACAGATGAGAATTTTGGTGACAAGAACAGCAAGTTTAATTGGTAGTTGATTACTGAATTCCTTAAACAGCTTAACCGGACCGGAGTCTGGATTACTTTGCCTTTGGATCTTGTGTGGGAGTAATTCTATTTTATATTAAAGAGTTGAGAGAGCGTACTGCAACTAAGCTTCTTGCTAGCAATATGAATGTTTGCACATTATATTATAAACTCTATCTGTAAGATAATGCTGATGCTTTTGGTGGCTAATTTTTGGATAGAACCACCATATTGTCCAGTCATATTTGACATGTCATCACCAAAGAGTTTTCTACATTATGTACAATAATAGTTGTCAATGTTCCATTTGCTATTTTAATTACATGCGAGTCCTACTCTGACTTGATTGAGTTGATATCAATATTGAGATTTAGTATTTTTCTGTTCCTAAGTACCCTGCATTTTTACCCAACCAAGCTTGCTTGATTTCTCACTGTTTTGTAATTATTTATTCACAAATCTTGGTTGCTGGCAAATAGATTTTGCAGTTAAAATTTAGTTTTCTTTCTTTCCATTCATATTTTGGCTGCAAGTTGTTTTTTCTGAACTATATTTTTATCATCTTTCTTCAGAGACAGTCTTGCAATGTATGCGAACGACTATCCAGTGCAATTCATCTTGGGTTACTGCTCAACTTACATCTTTATGCAGACATTTATGATTCCAGGAACAATTTTCATGTCTTTGCTAGCTGGAGCTCTCTTTGGTGTAGTTAGAGGCCTTTTCTTAGTTGTCTTCAACGCCACAGCTGGAGCATCCTCTTGCTTTTTTTTGTCTAAGTTAATTGGCAGACCTTTGGTTAATAGGTTGTGGCCCGAAAAGCTAAGATTTTTTCAGGGAGAGGTACTTCTTCCTTATCACCTCTTTGAAATTCATTATGTTTAATTGTTTGTTTCATTGTAATGTAGCATCTATGCATTTGTTTTCCCTCCCATTCGTTTTTTACTAATTAGACTATAATTTTGTCAAATCAGATTGCAAAGCGCAGGGACAAGCTGCTGAATTACATGCTCTTTTTGAGAATAACTCCAAGTTTACCCAACCTCTTTATCAATCTGGCGTCTCCAATTGTTGACATACCATTTCATGTTTTCTTTTTTGCAACTTTCATTGGCATTATCCCAGCCTCCTATATTACTGTTAGAGTAAGTGTCTCTGTCTATTCCTTAATTAACATCTTGTTTTGCTCATAACAAGACTTTGTTTGATCAAGTGACACAACTGTTGTCTTGGTGAATAGTCATCTGGATGATTTAGTAATAAAATTTGAGAAGTTAACATCTTTATATTATTCCAATTTAATACAAGTGTTGAGATTACTGAATGCTGTAGCCTGTAGGTGGATGTTTCATAGCAGTTTAATGCTTACAAAAGTTACAAGCCTTGAAATGAGAGATATGACCATTGTCATTGTTTTCCTATGTTTGTGAAAACAGTATGTCTTTAATCTGATGGTGGAAATTCCAAGCAGTAAATGTAACATGTTATTTGTTTCATTTTATTTTATTTTTGTTTCTGAATGACTCTTTTAAGTGTCAAATGCTTGTGTCTTATGCTTAACTGCTGCCTGATTTAGGAAAAGTGGAGGATTTTGTGAAGGGAAGGTGATTAACTGACTATTATGTGTGTCCTGTTTGGGTAGAGGTGTTCACTTTTATTTTTTATTATTTTTTATTGATTGGAATGATGACTGTGGAATAAAAATCTAAAGTTATGAGGTTTTGTTGGAGAGGAGAGGCCAGTTTACCGATCTTAAGCAGTCGAAAATGGATGTATAGTTGGAAATTTCTTGATGACAGTGAGGTTTTCTTATAGTGATAATAGGAAGTCAATGAAGATAGAAGTTTGGTCATTGTAAAAATTTGGTTTCTGATTTAAAGTATAATGCCAAAAAAGAAATAAGAAGTAAACCCATCTTGCTTTTTAGGCTGGTATTTGGTGACTTTTAATATTTGGTTGAGTTTGTATTCTATTCTTCCTCCAATATTCTTAAGCAGATAAGGTAGTTAAAAAGTAGGATAAGGAATCTTGTTATGAATAAGTTGATAGTTCTATTAATTCTCTCCTGCTCCCTTTTGCTCTATATTTCATGTCTCTTTCTTAATGTCAAGATTTTTTTTTCTTTTGTCTTGATACAGGCTGGCCTTGCTCTTGGGGACTTGAGGTCCGTGAAGGATCTGTATGATTTCAAAACTTTGGCTGTCCTTTTCCTTATTGGATCTGTCTCCATAGTTCCTACTCTCCTGAAGAGAAAGAGGATATACGAATGAGATGCCTTTCTCATCCTGCAAAAGTGGCATAGTATTGATACCTTGACAACTCGAAAATTGCAGAATCCTGAAGGGAACAGCGCCACTTCTCTGTCATGGAATCCCATAGATAGTAGATCAAGTATTGCTGATAAAAGACCGAAAGGGAATTCTTTTTTGGATATTCAGATGTATGCTATCTCCCCAAATGAATTATTTACATAGTGTTGGAGGCAAGAATTTACTAGAAAGATGTTATACTCCCTTAACCTGCAGCAAATTGCGTTTATAGGCAGTATTACTGTTTAATCTACCTATCATATATGTAAAAACTGTATTAATAACCAATTCTAGACAATAATAGTAGCTTTTGTACGTTCATTCTCATGTGGCTGTCAGTTGATGCATAAATTATTTTTCCTGTAGGGATGCTATAATTTGCATGAGAAAGATATGAAATCAGTGTTGATTTGCCCGTAATTTTGTTTGTTGGGAAAATGTACAATTTGGGGGTAAGAGAATGGGGAATAGCATGGCATTCCCATGTCTCAAACCTTGATCATTATCAAAGCATTAGGTATACTTTATAACTGATCTATGGGATCTATTGTTGATTTACTCGTAATGTTATCTCATTGTGAAGATTCATCTTAATAGTTATGGATTCGTGTGTCTCACCTAAAGTTCCAACCATATTTATTGATAGATGACATTGTGAATGAATTATTTTTCTATATGCCTGTCTAGTGTGTGTCTCATGACACTTGTTAAAAATATATTTATTACATTTTTTATATATTTACATAAGAAAATTGATGTTAATTTTAGTACTTATACCATGTGAATATATATATTTTTTATCTTGCCATGTGAATATTTTTAATTAAACAATTAATGAAATTAATGTTAATATTTATTATTATTATTATTATTTTGATATGACAAGATAGGTAGTTCAACTGATGGGAGAAAGGGGTGGGGATTTTAATAGAACAAAGTTGTTCAATCTATGAGAGAAAGTGGTGAAAAGAGAGTTACATAAGTTTAAATCATCGCAAATGGATGAAGAAGCCTTTTATATTTAGCAAATTAATTAGACAATTAACAAAATTTAGAAAAATTATATATCACTGACTCTTGAAATAATTTTGTGTCCTAACCTTAAACTTTTTATTTAATTA